ATGAATTTTCTTACCATTTTTGGAGTAGTGACTTTTAGTTTCATTTAAAAACTGAACATTGAATATTTTATTACTGGTTATTTGCCCTAATGAACGTCATTTTGAATGTGGGTTGATGTATTAAGAATAAAATAAGAAAATATTTAATTTACAAACACTTTTTGAGAAATCATCTGAAAAACTCCTGAAATGTAACTATCCGTAAAAGATTATTTCGTCCTATTTTTGGTCTGTCTAATAGAATGTAGCTATGGCACAGGAAGGGGATTGAGCTAAAAACTCAAAGGTAGATTATTTGGTTTGAATTATAAGGGGAGCATTTTTGATTAGTGACATTTTCTGATATGATTATATCCTGATCCAATTAGTATGAGTAGGGATCATATTGTGAATACCATAAATGAAAATATATTTCACATCTTAAGTGGAATTGAACAACGAAATTACACTAATTTAGAACATTGTTAACAAATTTGAAAACTGATAAATTACAGTAAATTTTGGTTTCTTATGCAGCCCAACTGATAGTTTTTTAATTAACTTCGTAGTTATGTTGTCATAACAACTCGAATTTACTCAACCATAAACGTTTCTACAATAAAGAAACTAAAACAAAATTAACAGAATTCAAAAAAAGTTTTATTTTTTCCTTAGTCATGATACGAGGACGATGCCAACTATTATGATTCATAAATCATAATTTTCAGACTATCTGAACGGAATAATAATTTTTTAAAAAGTTACAATATTTATATTATAAGTAGTAGACTTGACGAAGTAAACATGTCACTACAACACCAAATTAGTTTTGTCTATGTTAATATGGCTAAAGCCAGATGATTAACAGAATGCTTATTAATGTTTATTGTTATAGTCCTCAAAATTTATTTACAGAGGCACGTTCTATGATTGATGTAACCGGTGACCACAGTGATAAATCTGTAAAAATTTCTTTTGATTGCAGAAACATTAAGCGGCTGGCGTTCTCACTCTGAAATATTCGGACGATGATAATGTTGATTATATTATGCACATTATATCCACCTGATGATATTCCTAACTCGTTAGGTCGCTTTTAATCATTCATTAATGCGAAAAAATGTTCCCTCTTTGAAGTAGGTTTTTTCAATTTTAACGTTTCATTTTTTCTCATTCACGTAGCTGAGGTCATTTATATGTTGTGATATCTGATAAGTATTTCGTCCTTAGGGTATTTTCTCTCAATACCGATTGTCTTTATCATATCTGGATCATCTTACTAAGTGACGACTACTTTTGTCCAACATCAGATCGCAAGTCATCAAACCGATGATCAGAATTATTGTAAAGCTTACAGACATAATTATTACCAATAAAGAATAACATGAATTGAGATGATTCAAATAGATATTTCATCTCTGTGATCTCTTGCTACAACATTTTGTGATGTAGAATCTTCTCTCACGTAAATTTATTTACAACGCTTTTTATGTATTTGCAATCTCATTACTCCAGCATGACGATATATATCCTTCTTACTGTTTTAAGTATGCATGTAAGATTTATGATAATTCTGATTTTTAAAATATCATAAATTGTGAGTAGCTGATAAAAACCCAATAAAATGAAAGGAATTTAGGTTGCTCTGCTAAATCAATAGTACCTACTCTTTTCAAAGCTTTTGAACTTTCTTCATTTGACGAATGAACTCAATATGGATAACTAAATTGACAAGCGATGCAGACAACTCAACTTCTCAAATCTGATGTAAACAATGAGACTAATTTAGTAGGGACATATAAATTAACAAATCACATGGTCTTGTCGATACTTTGTTCATGTATAAACTCTTCTCATTCATTCTCTCTGCGGATTATTTAATCATGACTATGATTTCAATCTATTCTCATCATCTTATTTTCTTCCTATTATCATAAAACATGGATTTATTATCATTACTGAAATTGACATTCAAACAATTATGTTTCACATTCATCGACTTATATTATTATTAACTTTATCATCGTTTGAGAATTTTGGAGTCAGACCATGGGCACGCACTTCTGGTATTCACCAAAGAATTAAGATGTGAAAAAAATGTTTTATTTAAGAGTCGTGACTTGATAGAAGTTGGGGATATATTATTACACTTAAATGAACTGTTAAACTTTCAACGAATAGCTAATCATTTTACTTTATATTATCCTCCAATGAATTAGTTTTAACTTTTGATTACTGAGAAAACTAGATGGTTTACTGATAATGATCTTTCAAGAGAGCGATGACTTTAAAATACATAGGCTTCATGTTTTTATACTGAGATATATTGCAAGGTACTCTTCCATCATGAACTTTTTTGACTCCTGTATTTTCTAAAACTCAAAATGTGTTGAAAAATTTGATCAAAATCGATTTGAACACCTGAAGTGCTTTTGTATTGTGACGGAACAGATTACTAGTTCTGGTAAAAAAAAATTGTTTGAAATTTCGCTTGTCTTCCTTTGGATTGATCAAGCGTACTACTATTCTTATGATTTAACGGTTCGTTGTAGCCTTCTACATTCAATCTTAAGCCTGTACTTATTTTTTGCATCCTCAGATAATTTGTCAGAATAAAACGTGTCCAATATTATTCTCTACAGTATAAACTAAATTTGAATAAATCCTATTAAGTTAGGTAATTTACAAATAACTAAATATATTCATTTTTAATTAACAGACAAACGTTAGATGAAATTCAATGATTGTGAATAAACTTCTCAATCAGTATTTATTGTCAGACCGTGATTCTTTTAGCATTAATTTAACTTGTTACTTATAAAACATTTTATTTGAGTATATTTCCAGAAGTCGTGTTTTATAGGCTTACAAACTGGATCAAGTCCCCAAGGAATAATAATTTCCGTGTGAACAATATCCAACATATGATGTTTTCAATGTGTTTTTTTTTGTATGCTAATCATAGTATATCTGATGTTCATTAAAAAAAAATTAATTATTACAGTTTATTATTGCAAAAATGAAACACAAGAACATACTGTATATTTTTTTATCAGCTTAAACAATACACTGTCAGTTGAATTCTGTATTGTTTGTTTGTTTGTTTGTTCATTTTTATGACTTTCTTTTAAGTACTGTATTTTTACAAACTTGATTGATGGATGATGCCGATTCTATGAATACTACTAGTTCATGCAGAAAAAAAATGAAAGCAATCTATTATTCCATAGTTTTTTTATTGATGTTTTGTTAATATTTCCACTTTGTTCTAGTCTAATATTTTTATTATTTCAATTTTGTCCATTCTGTTTGTTGAATAATAAAAAAGTAGAAAGATGAAGACCAAAAAAAAAGACAATGGAAAGAAATAGGAAAAATAATTCTCATAACAAAAGTTAATGTTTATTTTCAATGGATTGACGTTGAGTTATGTTGTTGAACCCATTGAAAAAGTCAACATGAATGTCGTGCTGACTTATAGGTGTAACCAACGAAAGAAAAGTTTACTTTGTTGCCCTGTTTAATATTATAATATTCAGACTGATTAGTTTAAACGTTTGGTGGGAATAAATTTTCAGCTGATATTAGACGGTGACCGAAACTAGTTTGGAGTAGTAAGGCTATCTAAAATAATGCCTATCTCTTGCTATGCAGATAATATGTATTAAGTGCTACTTAAAGTTTAACATCAGTTAGCTAACTTCGACTAAACAGATTAAACAGCCTAAACAATGTCATGTAATACGTCATTTAACTAAACATTTTAATGTAGCAACGATTGTATGATAGAAATGAAAACTTATCGCTTTATTGTCAAGATGTCATAAACTTCACAATTCTTCAACACAATGACTGTAATTTTATTTGTTTCTTGAGATGTATCTTCTCTCAGTCGTTAGAATAGTGAAATTCGGAACTTGTTGTACAGCTAGATCTGTATTACCAGTTGCACAATAACCAGGATTTCATTTATATTTTATGTTGTTGTAAGGAAAATGTCTTAAAATGTCGTTTATATAATTTAAGACAGGTTAATATTTGTTTTCAATGTATTTTTTGTGTTAGCGTTAAATCAAAAATTTAAGAAGAATTCGATTTTGTAACTAGTACATCTGTCCAATAGTGCAGAAAAAGTCCATAGCTATACATGCCTGGTGAAAGTCAGTAATAAAATTTCTTAGTTAATATCACTTTAAAATTAATCGCACCGGTTTGCAACCATTCATAATCATTCGCTTTGAACTATTGACACTTAAAATGCATTTAAAAGAACATCACACAAGATAATTTTTCTGAAGTTATATATTTCTTTGCACCATTTCACTTAGAATTTTAATCAGTTAATAAATTATCTTAATAAGAAACTTTAAAAGATTTAAATTTAAGTTTTCAAAAAGTATAGTTAATATTCCATTCTTAAATCATTAAAATTAATTCTCCTCCGAGAACAGTATTGGCACAATTTAGTTTCTCTGGTAATTTACATATGACCGAACGGTTTCGAAGGCTAAATTAATTATATATAACTTCTCTGATGAATTCACGTAAAACAGTTTTCAAAGCTAGTTAAGATAATTAAAATTGAATCTGAAAACCAAATTTAACAAAACTGTTTATAATAGGATATATATCAATTAAATCAGCGTGAGTTTGTGTTATACATCATATCAAATGATCATTTAGGGCTAAAAGAAGGCATTTACTTTTGCATATAAAATATATAAACACTAATTAGTTTCGAATCAAGATAAGTTTGCTTTTTACAAACAGATGAAGAATAAAAGGTCATAAGAAATCGATAATATCATGTTTTAGGGTAAAGTCCTAGAGCTTTATAAAAAAACTTTGCAAATATTAACATGGATGATTTCAGTAACTCAATCAATAAATCACAACTGAAAATATTTGTCTCATCAATTATTACAAAACTGATTTCTCACAAAAGCTATCACCCCACAACTTGATAGAATGAAATTATCTCTTAATAAAATAGTATATTATTTTGTTTCATCTAAATTTAGCTGTAGAGCGAGGTAATGACTGTCCAGAAAGTCAACCATGGCCTTGTCGAACACCGAGAGTATGTTTATCTTTCGATTTTATCTGTGATGGAGAACCAGACTGTCCAGATGAATATGATGAAGATCCGGAAATGTGTACGGCAAGTAAGTTAAATGCCTTTTTTATTTTTAAACTTACTCACTATATATAGTGTGTTATATGATTTACAAAATGTGCCTGATCGATTAATTTTCATAAAATCTCTAAGGAAATTCTTTTACTTGAAGGACAAAAGTCTTCAAAGGATTTGTTGTCTGAATATCGTTTAGTAAAATAATTGCTTTGAAATATCTCGAACGGATATCAGAAAACTTTATGCTAAATAATCTCTTGTACAGTGTGAATAGAAATCTTTTCGAGAATGTAATATTCTAAATGCAATTCATAAAAATGGCTTGATTAAAATTTTTTCTCAATTACATTTGATATAACTACATCTCCTATACCTACTATGCTCATTTTCAAGAATAACAGAAAGCTGAGTTTGAATGCAGAACAAACATTTCATCACTTTGACCTACAAAATACCGATTGAATGGCTATGTAAGCTTATTTTAACTAAAAACAAATGACGCTGCAGGTAATAATACAATGTCTGAGCACTGCAGTTATCGTAATGGAACCAGGTAGCGAAAACGCTTGTAAGCTTCATGGCGATTCAAACTTCTGTTACATAGTCGATCGAGTTTAGTTAGCTTAAATTTTGAACAGTTATTTTCAAGCATCAGTAACATCCAGAAATGTGTTATTGTTGTAATGTGACTGGAACATGTAATGTTTGGCTGTGTCAAATACCTGTAACAACCAGATAGATGAAACGAAGTGAAGATCTTGTTAAATAACAGAATTCACATTGATAGTTTCCACTCACTATTCAATGTAAACAATCGTTTGGCAGCATCATTATCATTATCATGATTTTTCTGAAGTTTATTATCTGTTTTTCTGACAGAACTGAGACCAGCACAAGAACATTTAGCTGGATTTATACATCGTTATCAAAACTGGCTGATACCAACGTTTCTAGGACACGGGACACCGGAGGAACTAGCTGCCAAACTTGTTGGTAAGAAAAATTATTTGATTTGCTATGTGTAATTTAGGTCCGAAGAATTGTGTTAGAATGACAGAATCATGTCAGAATTCACAATCAGATTGAATATACTTTTCTTGAACACTTAAATATAGTTGAATATTTGGACGATGAAGTCAATCTTCTTTAACTTATATTACACTTCAATAATTTACATTTCGTACAGACTTGTAGGATTTTTAGAATTCTAGTTTGAGTGCCTGCATAAACAAGTTTGATAGATGAAATAAAGACTAATACCTTGTTGCAAAGTTATCTGAAGGAATATTTTAGTTTATTTATTGGAAGTTTATTATTTCCTAACTGTTTCCCATTCCTCATCAAATTATAAAAGTCTAATACTTATTTATTACAATGAAAAATTTGTTGTTACTTAGAATTGCGATTATGAATGATTTTAAGACTGTGTATCAATTTTTGCCGCAACAATACAAGGAGAACTGTACAAACTGGGATATTTTGGTATTAGTTGTCTTTTAACATTTGAGCTCTGAAATACTGAGTGTAAGAATGAAATGTTTTTTATATTCTTAACAGTTTTTACTCATACACCAATTATTTTAAAGAAAGACTAAGGTTATTTTGATATGTAACAATACTAGAAGGCTGATGAATTTAATATGTGAAATAATTAGTTTGAAAAAATTCCCTCAAATGTGACATTTGGAAAAATTACATATTTTTAAAGCGATTTTATTTTATTGTAAAAACCACTTAACAACAGCTATGACCAATTTTGTATAGTAACATAAAAATACTAAATTCTTTAAATGGACTTTCTTTATTTTGAGCATATATTTTATCGAAAATTACATAGATTAACGAAACTCAAAACTGTAGAAATGACAGAAAACACTGTAGAGAAACGTTTCAGTAGAATAATTCCAAATGCCTACTATGGTTGTTCAGTCTCTTCACCGCCTTTTTGTACGAACGTGTAGGTCATAAACGTACTATTGTGATTAATCAAGCTTTCTAGTGTTTCCTCAAAATATTTTCAAAACTCGACAATGCTGAGCTTCAATGATCAAGATTTCTTGCTATGAATTTTGAATTATTCATTTATTCTACTTGTAAAGCAGACAATCACTCAAGTTTTATCATAGAAAATAGACAAATACCTTACTTTTTCATCGAAAGATGAAACATTACTTTCAAGAATGAAAGTGAAAGTTACCAACTTTGAAAAATAATCGAATACTTTTACTTGACTGACAATAATTAGTTTGAATTTCATACTCTTTTTTTACTCTCATTGTTATGTGTACAATAATCAGTGTTCATTATGATTCTTTTTCTATTTTTCTTTTTACTGAACTCTTGATTTTTTTTTCAAACAGTTAGATTAATTATGACTTTCATAACTGTTTTCTAATTCATTTATAATAAATGAAATGAAATGATGATTTTTTTTTTGGATTTCTTTTATGCACACTCTTCATAATTCATTATGAATTAGAATTATTGTTTGCTTGATTTTCGAAAAGCAAATACTAATGGAACTGCCATACAATTAAAAATGTGAGATTCATGAAGTTCATTATTTATTCTGTTTAAATAATTATAATGGACGAATAGAAAGATTCAAAAATCATGCTGCTAATTATATATATATATATATATATATATATGTAATATATTTCGCTCTTTAAAAAAAATGCTAAAGTATCTTGGTTTTATGCTTTGGTTGTTTAAATCGGAGGAAAGTACCTAATTCTGCTACTTATTCTTGACTATGATACTAAATTAATATAATGCATTTGGAAGACGTATACAGCATAAGCAAATGAGCATTATCAACTGTAAGATCCATTTTCGAAGGCTTTGCTTGTGAAAATCCCTCTCTCTCTCTCTCTGTATATATATATATATATATATATATATATATATATTTGTAATTCGTTCTTATTAATTCCTTCACTTGTAAATTTTGTTAATCTGTTCGATTCCATTTTGAGATGATAATATTTGTATTTTATTATAGTTTCCATTTTGTCTCCTTTTATTGAGTTTCTATGTTTCTGTGTTGTTTAAGCTGATACACCTCAGTTTGGATCCTACATCACCAACGATCAGTGGTAGATATCAATGTGTTAGTTATAAGGCTAGGGCAATGGGCTTTGAAATGCGTTGAAAATGAACACAAGCGAACGGTAAATAAACATCCTGAAATTTTCAGTTTCCACTCTATTTTCAAGAAAATGCGAAGAAAGCACAAACTTCTGTTGTAAAATCGTACTATTCTTCTATTCACTCTCGAGAAAACATAAATTTTTCATTCTCGACGTAAACATTAAGCTTTAAATGTTGGTACAATTGAAGAGTTTTTCAGTCTTTCTAACTTGCTAAAGTTTATTTCTTTTTGGTTATTCAAGAAGTAAAATAAAAAAGCGCTTTTACAACTATTTCTTTATAAGAAATGTAACATAATTAAGCAATTAAAAAAGTTATATTATACCATGCGTTTTTAACTTACTCTACATATAACATTCTGTATAATCATAACAATTTACAAAACCAAGGTATATATCTTTGTCGCCAATGTAAGATTTTAAAGTTTTTAACAGACTATTATCATGTGGCACTATAAGCATAATCAATATTTTATTAAAGTTTTTTTTCGCTCTATCACCAGTACCAGTGTTAACATGTCAATTGGCGGAATATTTTAAAGGTATCTATTAAGAGACTAACTGAAGGTCAAAATTTGTAAGCATAATTTAAACAGAGTATGGTTTTGGGACATTCAGTACAAATGTGATGGGTAGTACTCGCAACGTGGCCCATCTTCACTATGCAATCCAGTGTCTTCCAGAAGTTACTACTGGATGGGAGAGTGCCAGATCCGAATGTGTGTCGCAATGAAAGTGTTTTGAAGATTAGCGATCATATGGAAAAAAACATTGAATGGAAGTCTGAAGATAAGGTGTACATATTTTGTTAGTAAACTGTCTCTTTCTTGAATACACTTGTTTCATCTGACCTTAAAGTCTTATCTCATTATACAAGTATAAGTTTGTTACTGTTTAGAACACTGGTATTTTTAGTTTTTGCTGTTATAAAAATACTTTCATCTCTTTAATTGGATGAAAAACCAAAAGTGGTCACGAAATGTGATGTTTAACTGCTTCACTATTACAACTTTGGTGAATTATTGTGAAATACTTTACCTTACCAATTGGGTTGGTAGAACATTTAGATTCTATTTGATGTGTCGTTATATTGAATGTGTATACTGTCAGACAATTCTTCATACAAGTATTGTTTCGATAGTTTTATTCAAATACAGCACTCTCTTTAAACTGAAATTCTTTGTAAAACGTTCAAAAATCAAACTACAAGTAAGATAAAGTGACTTATGAATTCATCCACTAAATGTAATAACGGTTTCCTATTGAACAAACATAAAATATTCTCAATGCTATATTCTTCAAACTCTAAATGAATAACTACATTTTTTGTAAGAAACAAAAACTTATTGGTTCATTTCCTAAAATGGTTGTGGTTAAGAATCAACATTTCATTGCTTTGAAGTTTTTCAACAGTTTTCAAAATGTTATTATTCCATGATATCTAGCTAAAATTTCGTCAGCTACTCCAAAAAAAAACTTGTTTTTATAATAATTCATTTGAGTTGTTTATCTACTAAGCGTAATTTTGCCTTCTACTTTGATTTTTCTTTTTTCGTACTTTTTATTTCAATAAAATGTAAATTAGAAAGTAAAACAGTATCCGATTATGCAAGAGCAGCAAAATTGAATGGAACACAATTGAGAAATTTAATCAAATTAATGGAAGGTGTGCAGTCTGGCAAAGAAATGGAATTATTTCTAATGGGTATGCCATTAGGTGCATGGAGTGAACTATACACTTTATTTCATCGAATATATATCAGTGGATTTTTAGATAATTTAGAACCGGCGGAAAATTTCCAATCGTTAAATAAACAACAAAAAGAAGAATTTTGGCGAAATCATATTCAACAACAAGTTAAACGTTTTCTTTATTAAAATATTATTGAATTGAGAATAAAAACATCAATATTTTTTTCCTTAATAAAAAAAATGATTTTACTAGTATACTATGCATAAACTTAAATATCTATGTTAAATATATATATTCATTAATAATAATAATAATAATCATACTGGCAATAAATTAAAATGATAAAATTTCTCAACTTCCTTAGTCTTATTTTTAATAAAAACAAGCATTACACGTAAAGAAAATAAATGTATTGTGATTTGTATTCTTGTCAATTTGTTTCTCGGAAAAAAATAACAATAAGTATAACATAGTGAATAATTATTATACTTACGACTATGAACTGCGGATTAGTAATGTATTTCTTTGTAGTTTCGTTATAATACAGTATTAGTTATTTACCTGTGAAACAAATAAATATAATTGAATATATATATAACTGTAGTTTGATGTACCTATGTTTACATTTAATTACTTATTAAAAAGTGAATATATCTAAATATATCTATTTCAATACTTAAAAACTTTGTGGTTTCTCCAGGTTTTCTAACCGTTAACTCCAGTTAATTGTTGTAGTTCAACAACGGAAGCTTATATCTAAAAAGCTAATTCTTCAGTGGTTATCATTTTGTACATTGAAATGGTGACAGATGTTTGAGGGAAAACAAGAAGATAAAGACACACCCAATAACAGTAAAATATTGCTTGTAAAGTTATTACAATAAGTGAGAATGGAGCTTATAAGTATTGTACATCTTGGTGATTATATAGAAATCTGAAAAGTTAGAATTGTTCTATAGAAACTTTAATTAATTTGATTTTGAACAAAAATAAACGAAAATGACTCTTAATATCGTTTGTAAAATGTTGTAAGTATAACGATTTTCATGTACAATTTCATGATCACCATTAAGAATTAAACTGAATGCTTCATTGGGCAGAGATCTAGTCGTAAGAACACATTCGTACTTGTGGCAAACCACTTTACGAAGTATACTTTATACTATTGCTTAAAAACTAATAAATGTCATATCAGATTGACCCGGAAATTTTTTGAGAGGGACTTAACTACAAAATGAAGCATTATGGATATTGTTTACTATTGACAAGATATTAATTAAACGAATGAAACTGTGTTCTCATGTAACATGAAATGTAAGATTAAGATAAAAACATGGATTATCAATACATGAACATTAGTGAAATTAAGGTTAGGGAGAAGTTGGTGGTAATTCGGTTGAAACTTAAAAGGAAACTAGAATGGCAGGTGTCTTTTTGATCAGTAATAAGTAGCCCAATATTGTTTCTTTCATTATTCTTACTGGTATAAATCAATTATTACGTTTACAGAAAACTTGTGTGACCCAAATTAATACTTGTCCGTTTATATAAGATGTGTGTTCTTTTCTACCTAACATTATTTAGAAAAATTGCTTGCCTGATGCATAATCTTTATGAATTCTATATGAATTTTATATGGCAAGTAAGAGTGCTTTCGAGAGGAATGTAGTATTTCTCTGTATACACTTATGAACTGGAAGGACTGTAACAAACGTCACGGTACGTGAGAGGATACGGTACACTTAATAATTTCACTGTCATCTCATTCTAAATACATATAAGCATAGGTGTTAAAGGTGATCAACTGATATGAATGTTCTAACTCCAGTTTCCTGTAAAACTAAAAACAACAGGCTTCAAGACATAAAAATTATGTTAGCTTGATATCTGCATTATTACGTGCACAATCATCGATTTATTTCAAATTAGTCAAATTCCAATATTTCATTATCTTCTGTTTTATACGAAAACAATTCTTCTAGTTCCGAAATGAAACTATAATTTAATAAAAGTTCATGAGAATCCCTCGATGGCCTAAACAGAATAAATTTTTAAAAGAAATATATTTCGACTTCGCTCGAATATAAACCTATGAAATTCGAAAGTTGTGTGTATGATCTCTTTTATCGTTCTGCCAGGTATGAGCAACGTAGAACCTAGTTTATATATATTTGCGCAACGTTTCAAATCAACACGCTAAATCATCATAATAAGGTGAAGCTATGAAGATGAATTCCTGAAAATTGAAGTTAATAACTTTATCAATCTTAAGCACAGAAAATATAATTAGAAAAGAAAGAACACATGGAGTAAAAGCAGATTAGATTAAATATGAATTTCGAAACAAAAAGACGACAAAAATGAGTATATCCAAGCTAATGTGATACGTTTTGAACTTTCTCAGTGAGTTTCTCCAACAACTGGTTAGGGTTTTTTGTGCAGACTGTGACCAAACACTGTTCCTATCAAAAAGGGCCATTTCAACTATCTACGATTATAGGGACTTATTCCAAGTCATGACTGGACCTCCTCTATGTTTATTCTTACCCACTCCTACATTAGCTGACATCCAGTGTCTAATTAGGCCGTAACTATCATTAACGAATGCGAATTAGGCGATAAGAACGCTGTTATTGTATTATTCGTGAGGACTATTCCAGTCAGTTATATAGAGAGATCAAAGATAAGTTTTTTCAGTTTGATATAATAATGACTAAACAGGACGAACCCTTTAACTTCGCTGTAAAATAATGCGAAATAACACAGATACATTTTCGAACACATGAACAATGTGTGCGACCAATTCATTTGAGTAACTCCTCTATCGCATTTATGCTGTTTGTCTACATTAAATCTCTGAAATCTTTGAAAGTGAATCTTTTATGTTATCATAAAATTCAATAAGGTTTATATGTTTCCTTTGTGTTAACTGCATCAAGAATCTGAATAAAAATGTCTAGTTTAGGAGTAGATTACCAAATGAGTATGATAATGATTTATTACAGCCATATAAACTAATACTTGTAATACATTAAATGATAATTTCAAAATATATTATTATATTCAGCGTAAAATCTACGCAATCACAAACGCTCACTGATACATACATACTCAATTACGGTAATACTCTAGTAAATACTAAAACGTTTTAGTTTGTATAACAATGGTTTTTCTATTTTTCATTAAAAATAATTAGCCGTCTATGTAAAACTCATCAAGCATGTTAAAAATGACATTTAACTTTTGATAATACTAAGAAATATTTTTTAACAGACATCCACAGTTACTCAATTACGGAAAAATGATATCTTGAGTTGAGCTAAAGAAATTCAACGGTGAAAAGTAACAATTTATGACATAATAAATGTTCTTTACTTCTTAAAGACGAAATGATTTTCAATCAACTTATTTCATGTTACTGTTCAAAACTTAGTCATTAATTTAAGCGCCAGTATTTTAATTAGTTCTGTTCAAAGTTCATTTTGCTGCATGATAGACGTGTACAAATAAACTGATTGTCAAAATTACAACGGTAAATGTATAAAATTTAATAGAAAGACTAAATGAAGTATCAACTGATAATATTCACAAAGTCAGTTAACCAGTTCTATTATTTCGATGTTTGTTACTTATCAAAATACTTGGAGGCAAAAGACATTCATAGATCGTTTCTTTCTGAGTTCAATAGAGCCATTAAACAAAAGGCAAAGAGATGAATTTGAAATAAAATTTTGAATAAACTAAATTGTTCATGGATTCTCTTTCATTTAATACCGTAATCACTTTGTAATGGAAATATCGCAAAAAAAATAACATTCCTAAATATGCGCTAGCCAGTGCTATAACAAGATTTCATTAAATTAATCAAATGGAGACTATTGTCTTTCTTATTTTGTGAATGGCTTAGGTTTTTCGTCTAATTTATATTCCTTGTTAATCCCTTGTAATCCTTAAGTTTTTTGATAGAGGTTATTTGTTTGTTCATGACGCCGTCGTATTTTTACCAATGTTTTTGTAATTATCAAAAAAGTATTTTATCTTAACATAATTTACAGTTTAACATGAAGACCGTTATCGCTCTGAATACTACTTATTTCTGAAATTAGGGTTATACTTTATTTCTTTCTTTTTTTATTATATAAATTAAACCTCTATTGTCAAGGGCAATTTTACATTGGTTTTCAGGAGAACTAAGGAGACTGTCTACGTGTTAGCATTTCGACATGAACAGTTCGGCTCAATCCGTGGTGCAACCACACAGATACCTGATATGTTGATGGACCATTCACACCATTTATATACATTAGTACACATACAGTGATTATTCCCGATCAATGATCGCGTCAATCAATATGCACCTCTTGAACAGGCAATTCAGACCCATCAAGCTTACATGAATGTCAAACTCATCATTCTTAGCAATAATGATATGAAATTCAGCACACCAATGGCAATGGCCCTCACGAATGTTGCAAACCAACCACTAGTATCAATGAAATCGGTCGCCTTTCTAACCAGTTTTGTATATGGACTGTTAGCGATGCTTGCCAAAGCTATGCCAGGCCATCCACAATGTTCACAGTGATCCTCTGGTCTCATAGGAAACCTTCAGCTCGATATCGCAGCAGAGCACATGGTATACACATATATGGGGTAGGATGGCAGAAAATGCAACCCAACATGTTGCGAATAGGCCTATACAATCCTAATACGCTTTGTCTCATGTCCGGTAGTGATTTGCTTCGCAGTTCCGAAATGTTCATTTTTCGACTGTACGACACCTGAGTTAGGGATAGTATCCCTATTTCTTCCTGTAGAATAAAATATACCCATTTTCAGTTCAGTGCAAAAGAGTTCATTTTGTCTGGATTGGTGAATGACGATGTTGTATAGTATAATGGGGAATGATTTAGGACACTGTACAGTCAGAAGAATCTACCTATGTTATATATTTTCATTGTTTTTAATTGACAAAATCAATTCTATTAACAGTAAATGATGCTATACCGGCAGATGATCATTACATTTTGAAGAATATGTTAAATCAATCTAACAATTCGAATCATACATAAAAACAACACTAATTAAGAAGTATTTTTGTACAACTATTTCCTCTACTGATAAAATAGAAACTATTTCGTTATGAACAATATTGATGATCAAATATTTCGGTTAATTCATTGAG